GTATAATAAAATATATATATATACATATATAAAGCATAAAGAGTATTTGAATTTATCATCTATTTTTAATATTATAAAAATTGAAAACTTTATTGAAAAGAAATTTATTAAATTATAACAATAACTATAACTATATAATTATAACATAAACTGCCGAATTAATAATCTTTTAATCATTAATAAACTTTTAATCATTAATAACTACGAAGAAAAAATTCTTTTGCAAAGATAATTTTTATAAAAATTAATTGAAAACTTTAAATTTTGTTTAAATAATTTCAAATTAAAAATAAAGATTTAAATTTCTATGTTTTCATATGATTTCAATTTAATGAAATATAAATTCTCTTAATATAAATTGCACTATCCTCATATAATTCTTTATATTAAGGAAAATTTGGAAAATATAAAAATGAAACTCTATTTAACAAAATAATACAAGACATATTCTAATAGTAATTAGTACTCTAAAAGTAATTAATATTCTAATAATAGTATTATTACAGTATTATTATATTCTAATAGTAATTATAGTTTTAGCTAGTTTTTATTTTAAGTTATTCTATACATATAAAAACAAATTTTATATTCTTCTTGTTTTAAAATAAAATAAAATGCACATTATTTAAAAAAAAATTACTTATTTAGTTCTAACTTTTTGCGTTTTCGGTTTTGTATAACATAGAATATATATCTCTTATGTTGTAGAAATATTTTCTATAATGTTATTGTAAATGTTGAAATCATGATAATATTTATAATATTTTATAATATATAATTTTTATCACAAATTTTTCATAATATTGAAGAAAAATAAAAATAAAATTGACAAATAAAATTTGAGTTAAATTTAATTGCGAAATATTGAAAATTATGATACAAAATTCAATCGTGACAAACTTTTCATTTTTATGATGAAAACATCACGACAAAATCACATTCATATCGCATTACAATAAGAATTTTTATGTAATATTTCAATGTTATAAAATTCAATACTATGAGAGTATTTGTATGATGACGAACAATATTCCAATATTCACAAATAATATCATAATTAAAGGTACAATTTATTGTTATGTGAAATGTATTTTCATTGTACTAAGACAATCATATACTTTTCAGTTTCATATAAATTCAATAAAAAACAATGAAAGAAAAAAAAAAATAATTATATAAATTAATTTTTTTTGGTAAGATTGAAAACTCAATCATTAAATGTTTTACATATACTTTACATACTGAAAAAGATTTTTAATTTAATTTAGAAATTAAATTTATTTAATTTAATTTATTTATTTAAGTTTTATGACTTTCTTTTTTTTTTTGTAATATCGATAATAAAAATTATATACATATATTATATATATGTTACATTTATTATTATTATTATACAAATTTTCTTATTTAATTATTTTATTTTTAATAAATTCTAAATAATAAAAAATAATTAAAATCTATTCTAATCTTATATAATTAATTTGTTATTTAATTTTCATTATTTAATTATAATTCTTTTTAATTTATTTTTTTTTAATAAATTAAATGAAAGATTTAATTCTCATTTTAATAATTTTAATATCATTTTAATATCATATCAGATTATGATATCACTGAGAAAACTATTTTATTCTTATCATATTCTTTTCTAAACTCTAAACTTTCTAAATTCAAAAATATAATATTTTTCTTTGGTAATTGTTTAATACAACTTTTTTTCACAATGAAGAAAAGTCTTATCTATTAATCATACATTTCTTTTCCTAAATTCAAAATTCACATATACCTCTTCTCCTTTTCCCCTTTATTTATATTAATATAAATAAAATAAATAAAAATTATATTAATATAAATAATATAAATAAAAATTTTAAAACAGAAGACAAATAATCCAAATTTAATAGTAAATTAATAGTAAAAAACAATCTATATAAAATATAATAAATATAATAAAATAAGAAAAATTGTATTAAACTATTTGTAATTTAAATTAATTAATATTTAATCTTTAGAGAATTATATAATAATCTTAAAATTAATCTGCATATGTCTTAAAAGTAAACATTAATTGATTAGTTATTAATAATGACCACTTTGGATCATTCAATTATATGTCACAGGAATACTTACTTGCTAAAAGCTAATGAAACTAAAGAATAGGAAGCCATTGCTGTGTTACATCAAAATAAGAACATATTGATTTTAAGAGAATTGATTCTAAATTATATTAAAAGTTTATCTTTGTTTTTTTTTTTATTAAAAAGAATTTATATCATTATATTAGTAAATACATATTATTCTATAAAAAAATGTCTATTATCTTAAAAT